TTATTTTGTGGTTAGATTATCTAGTGCAGAGAGGGGAGGTTCAGGTCCCCACTAGTATAGTTTTGCTGTCTATTTCTTCCTGTAACTCCCTGAACTTCTCCTGTAAGAATTTGGATGCTATACCATTTGGTGCATATATGTTTAGTAATGATATTACTTCATTGTCTATGGTGCCTTTTAGCAGGATGTAGTTTCCTTCCTTATCTCTTTTGATTAGATCTATTTTTGCTTTTGCTTTGTCTGAGATCAGGATTGCTACCCCTGCTTTTTTTACTTCAGCTGAGCATAATATATTCTGCTCCAGCCTTTTACCTTTACCCTGTATGTGTCACTCTTTTTCAAATGTGTTTCCTGTAAACAACATATTGTAGGATTATGGTTTTTAATCCATTCTGCAATCTTTTTCTTTTATGGGAGAGTTCATCCCATTCACATTCACAGTTATGATTACTATCTGTGTCTTTTTCTCCATCCTTTTCCCCCCATTTATGCTTTTCTTTCTCCTTTTTCCTTTCCCCCTTCACTAGTGTTTTGCTTTTGACACCACCTCCTTCAGTCCCTCCCCTTTTATTATCCCTTTCCCTTTTCTTCCCCTTTACTCTTACTGCTTCCCTCCTTCTTTCCCCTCCTCTTTCCTCCCTTTTCTTTCCCCTTTTCCCTCCTACTGCCTATAGGGCAAGTTAGATTTCTATACCTAACTGATTATTATGCCCTTCTTGAGCCAAATCTGATGAGAGTAAGGTTCAAACAATGCTCCCCCTTCTTTCCCTCTGCTGTAATAGGATTTTGTGTCTTTTCCTGTAATGTAATTTACCCTTGTCTGCCTCCTCCTTTCTCAGTACATTTTCTAAGATCAGATTGATCCACTTATTTGGATCCATTTAACCCACTTGATTAGATTTTTTTTATCATCACATCAAAGTCAACTAATATCCCCCCTCTTTATGTATGCTCCTTTAAGAAGGTGTAATAACAATACAGTTCTCAAGGGTTGCAAGTGTCATATTCCCTTGTAGGGGTTTAAACAGCCCCCCCTTATTAACAACATATTGTATCTTTCTGTCCCATTTACCTTTTTAAGTCCTTCTTGAGTCCTGTACTTGAAGATCAAATTTTTTGTTGAGCTCTGGTCTTTTTATCAGGAAAGTTTGGAAGTCTCCTATTTCATTGAATATCCATCCTCCCTTGAAAAATGATGCTCATTTTTGCTGGGTAATTGATCCTTGGCTGCATTCCAAGCTCCTTTGCCTTATGGAATATCATGTTCCATGCCCTGTGGTCTTTTAATGTAGAAGCTGCAAGGTTCTGTGTAATCCTGACTGTGGTTCCATGATATTTAAATTGTTCTTTCTGGCTGCTTGCAGCACCTTCTCTTTCATCTGGTAATTTTGGAATTTTGCTATTATATTCCTTGGGTCAATTTGGGATCTCTTTCAGGTGGTGATCGGTGGATTCTTTCTATGGTTATTTTCCCTTCTGGTTCTAGGACTTCGGGCAGTTTTCCTTTATGATTTCCTGAAAGATACTGTCCAGGCTCTTTTTTATCATGATTTTCAGGTAGTCCAATAATTTTTAAATTGTCTCTCCTGAGTCGATTTTCCAGGTCGGTTGTTTTACTGATGAGGTATTTTACATTTTCATCTTTTTTTCATTTTTTGTTTCTGTTTGACTGATTCTTGCTCTCTCATAGAGACATTAGTTTCCATTTGTCCAATTCTAGTTTTTGATTGTTTTCTTCTGTTAGTTTTTGTACTTCCTTCTTCAATTGGCCAATTGTGTTTTTTAGGGACTTGTTTTCTTCAGTGTATTTTTTTCCAATTGGCCAATTGTATTTTTGAAGGACTCTTCTACCTCTCATTTGACTATTAAAATCCTTCTTGAGCTCTTCTAAGAAGGCTTTTTGGGCTTCAGACCAGTTCATATTCCCTTTTGTTGTTGCAGATGTGGGTCTGTTGACAATGTTATCCTCTTCAGAATTTCTGTCTTGATCATCACTCTTCTCATAATATGAATCTACTCATGGTGTTTCTTTATTCCTGGCCTTTAAAGAGATTGAGCTCTCCTGCTGGGAACAGAGGGCACTGACCCAAGCTTCTTGTGTTGGGAGCCTAGGTCTTGGTCACTGGCTTTTCGTGCTGGGGCCTCTTATGCTGGCATTTGGAGGCTGTAGGTTTCTGGCAGCTTACCTCATGGGGCTGGAATCAGCAAGGCTGGAACTTTCAGGCAATTCTAGGTTGCCTGCTTTTCCTTTCCTTTAGCTTTCTTCAGCTCCTTTTAGATGGGTGCTGCAGGGTGTTTATCTGCTGGGGCCCCTGCATTGTCTCCCTCATTTCTGCTAATGCACCAGGAGAGTCCTTTTCGGTAGAGTGCCGAGGCACCTAGTGGTTTTCTGAGCTGGTTTCCACCGGTTCCCCCCCCACACCCCACTGAGGCACTCAGAGGTCCAGGTGTTGGTGTTTGCCTGTTCTACCACCTGGGCTTCAGGATTTCTTCACAATTGGAGGCTGCAGGGCTCCAACAACTCTCTTGGTGTTGGGTTGGAAACAGCACGGCCGAGGCTTTAGGAAGCCTTTAGGTTGTTTTCTTCACCTCCTTTCAGATGAATGCGCAGGTACTTATCAGCCTGGGCCCCTTGTAGTTCTGCCTCCCTTATATTTGCTGAGGCGCTGGGAGACCCGTTTGCTGGGCTGCTGCACTGCTGCTCCCCGTTTTTCTTCTAGTTCAGGTGTTCCAGGGTTTTATTTCTGGGGTGATATTTTCTGGGTTTTCAGAGGTTGATTGGGAAGAGTGAGAGCGACTACCTTTTCACTCCACCATCTTGACTCCCAGAAGCGGAAGTACATTGGTGTCTTGAAGTCCCTCATTAGTGTCTTCCCATTTGTTTTTGAGAGTCTCTGTAGTACAACAGAAGCATAAATAGACAGTGAATCATGGTTGCCAGTGTTTGAACTCAAGCAAATCAGCCTACAGACTGAAAAAGTTTCAATGATGCTTCCCACTTGTCAGCTCATTACAGTTCCGCTTAGCCCAAGCCAGCTCAAGGTATGGCCCTCTCTAGTACTCTTACGAGCATACCCTGAAATGCACCAAAGACAACTTGAGCTCCCATGTTTTACCCTCCCACTCAGTTCTCAATGAAAGCAGCTGCGCCCTGAATTCTGAATCAAAGCGTGAAGCTCTTTGCTTTCCTATGTAATGACTCTTGGCTAGTCCACTGCCAATCAATGAGTCTTGACCCACTCCCTACTGCTTTCCCAAGCTGGACTGAGCCCATCATAATGTGTGAACATTTTCCAACACATTTCCTTCCCCACAGGGAAGATCTCATAAGCCCCAGCACAGGCTCCAAAGTCCAGCTGCGCTGGGTTGGAGAGTAATGACCACTTGGTGTATTACGGTCCAGGAGAAGTGACCACTGGCTCTTTGTCTTTCCACCTTCCCTGCTGCTAGACTCTAAGGACCACCAGGCATTTCTACCCACCCTGCAGCTGAACCCTCCTACAAATGTTGTCTCCTCCAATCAGAAAGTCAACTCCTTGAATTCAGGAACTGCCTCGTTTTTCCACCCGTCAGTACTTAACAAATGCCTTCCTTCCTGAAAAGGCTTTGATCTGGAAGCTGGAAATAAAGTGTTCAATTAATAAGCTTTCTTAACAGGTAGTGCAGTACAGTTGGTGGAGTACTTGATTTGAAGTCAAGACCCAAGTTTACATCCAACCTCATGGCACTTAATAGTTATGTGACCCTAAGCAAGTCATGGGTAGAATGCCAGCCCTGGAGTCAGGAGGACCTGAGTTCAAATTTGGCCCCAGAGACTTACTAGTGGTACAACTCTGGGCAAGTCACTTCACCCTGTTTGCCTCAGTTTCCTCATCTGTAAAATGAGCTAAAAAAGAAAATGTCAAAGCACTCCAATATCTTGCCAAGAAAACCCCAAATGGGGTCATGAAGAGTTGGACATGACTAATTGACTAAACAACAAAGCAAGTCATACCATTTCCTTTAGCCTCAGTTTCCTCATCTGTAAAAGAGCCCAAAACAGCTGTGGTCCCAACCTGATGGGGTTGTTATGAGTCCTTAAGGAAACAATGTGCATATAGTACCACAGCGTTGGCAAAGAGTCAATAAATATTTATTAAGTGCCTACTATGTGCCAGGCACTATGCTAAGCACTGGGAGTGCAAAGGAAGGTAAAAGATACTCTCTGCCCTCAAGGAGCTCACAGTCTAATGGGGAGACAACAAACAACAAATTATGTACAAATGAGCTACACACAGTTTGAAACAAATCAAGGGAAGGGTTTTAAGGAATTGAGGAGGAATGGGAAAGGTTTTCTGTAGAAGTTGAGACTTTAGTTGAGACGGGAAGGAGGGAATTCTGTGTATGGGGCACCACTGGTGAAAATGCCTGGAGGTGGGAGATAGATGAGCAGCAGGGAGGGCACTGTCTCTAGACTGAAGAGTACATGGCTGGGCAGAGTGTAAGGCGTGAGAAGTCTAGGAAGGTGGGGGAAGGGAGAGCAGGTGATGAAGGGCTTGTCATGAGTCAAGGGTGCTCTTTGAGGTCTGTTGATACACAGTTACCCAGACTGGAGCCTCTTGGGCCAGACCCTCTTCCTTCAATGTTTCTCTTGGCTGAGGTCTTTGGAGTATTACTGTCCCCCCACACAAAGTGAAGTATGGTCAGCCCTCCAATTCCTGACACAAATAGGAGGGCATACCCAAAAGAATGAACTGGGATAATGGGTCATGCAGCTTTTCCTTGTTTTATTGATGTCTCATTTTCCTTTGAGTCTTTGAAGCCAGGGCTGTCTACAAGACTATTGGCCACAAAGTCCAGAAATAGGTTGATGAATAAGGTACATTGGTCGTGAATAATAGAGCTGTCCTGTCATTTGGGGAAAAGGGAAGAGCTGCAGAATGGCCATGTGGGGAGGTGGAGGCAGGGGAGATGAACTGAAGGACCAGGTTCCCATGCTGCTTCCTTAATCAAAGCCTCAGATATGCAGTGCTTCACAGTGAAGCCGGTGATGAACCTACCTCCGAATTACAAGGACAAACCCGTGCCAGAGCAGATCTTGAAGTAAGTGGCTACAAAACCAGTCAGACTTTCACCCTGGCTGGGAATCATGGGATGGCGCAGTTAGAGCTGAGAGGGCCCAGGTTTCCAACTCAAACACAGCTAGCTAGCCAGCCCTGCATGACTAAGCCCTGCGTGACTAAGCATGTTGAGCCCAGGTCAGTTCAACCAGATGTTTCTTGGGTATCTATTATTTTCAGGTATATAGTTGGTTCATAATAAATGCTTACTGAATTGAATTGCAAGCAATAGATTAAGTACTGGGGCACAAACACAAAAATGAGTCAGTCAGTGTCTGCCCTCAGGGAGATTATATTCTCCTGGAGGCTACAAAGTGATTTGATGTGGGTACGCACTGGCCAATGGTAGAGTTATGAAAGAACAGGATTGATGTACTGATGTATTTACACAGTATGTCTGTGTGTGCAGTTGGGTCTAGACCTGTGACTTCATTAACACAGGTGTGGAAACTCCCTCCACTGATGCAGATCAGCCCCCTCAATGGGACTGAACCACTGAGAAGGTCAGTGGGGCTTTCAACAGAATGCATCAGAGGCAGGGCTTGAACCCAGGTCTTGCTGAGTCTGAGGCCAGATCTCTGTCACCATATCACACTGCCTCTATTCTATATCATGTAGGCATGCGTACGTGTTTATACACATGTCTATATGTATATTAAAGCACATATATTGTTCAGTAAAACAGACAATTAAGTGGGAGGTGTCTGAGCATATATCCATTTTCTTGGACCTCAGCTTTCCTCAGGTGCAGATCCCAGCCCATCTGCACTCCTCCAGCCTGTGGGACTCTTCCCTCATCCGTGTCATTTCATCCATGCCCAGCAGAGGGCGTCCCCCCCATGCTAAAGCCTTCCTCTGGTTCTTCCATACTTTGTGGCTCTGGTCATGGCACCCAGGCTGACTATCCCTCCATCTCACTTCATGACCCACCCACTTCCTTTCCTAATTGGTGACCTCTTTATTCAAGATGCCATGATATTTGTATGAGATGTACACACCTAAGATACTGTAGGCAATACCGTATCACCTCATTCTATCTACACTGTGTCTTCTCACTGAGCAAGAGAGAAAAATGGGGCCCTGATTGTCATTGGTAGAATGTCCAGGTTTCCACTTTCCTATAAGGATGCTGCTTTTGCTCTAAGGGAGTTCAATCCTCTTTAAAAGGAGGGAGCAGAAGTAAAACAACATGGCGGATAGTCAAGAATGCCAGACTGGTTCTGAACTTAGCCCTTACCCCTTAGCTGTGTGGCCTTGGGCAAGTCCCTCTAGCTCTCCGGTCCTTACCCTTTGTATCTATAAAACAGAATAATGCTCGCCATCATCCCAGCAGCACAGACTAATTTTGACCATCAGATGAAATGACATTTGTAAATTATTTTGCTAACTTTCGGGCGCCATGTCAGTCCTAGCTACTGTCATTCTCCTTTTTATTATTGGATAGAAGATCTCAGCTTTGCTGCCCTGACATTCTGCTGAGTCTGTGGATTTACGAAGGACAGTTCTAGGCAGCAGATTTGGGTTGGTACAAGCAGTTAGGTGGTGATGTGGAGCTGAAGTCACGAAGACCTGGGTTAGAATCCTGCCTCAGGTACTTCCTGGCTATGTGATCCCAGGAAAGTTCTCTCTTGGCCTTAGTTTCCTGATCTGTAAAATGGAGGTAATAACAGTTTGTGAAAATCAAACGAGCTGACATCTATAAAGTGCTTTGCAAAGAGAAAGATGCTATGCATGTGATCATTGTGCTGTGCAAGCTGTCTGTCAGGACAAAGGTGACTGGGTGCTCGGCTGTTTTTCTCCAGTTACTATAGGGCCAACGAGGTTCAGCAGTTCCAACACTCCCGGCCCTTTCGGAAAGGAGAAAAGGATCCCGACAATGAGTTTGCAGTGAGTTCTGTACTCTCTCCTCATCCAGCAAACCCGTAGCCCAAGGTGCTTCTGGTCCCATTGGCTCTGCTCTCCCTCCCCAAGCCTGAGGGGCACAGAAAAAAAAGGGTGGTTCCATTATGTGAATCTATTCCCTTCCCACCACCATGGTCAAACATGGGTTCCTGTGTTTTCAGGGCTTCTTCACGTGCATTTCACAAGCTAATATTCTGTACTTTAAGGCTTCTTTAAGCCATAACATTCTCTGTTCCATCATTCTGTATTCTAAGGGCCATCCCAGATGTGACATCCTATGTTCTAAGCCTCCCACCTCTCCCATTCTCTGGGTAGGCCACTGGGGAGCTGTGAGGGCTAGAATGATGATTTTGCGCTCCCTTCTGCTCCCAGACCATGTGGATCGAGAGGACCACCTATACCACCGCCTACACCTTTCCTGGGATTCTCAAGTGGTTTGAAGTCAAGCAGGTTACCACGGTGAGTTGTCTGCAGGGCCCTTCAGGAACGTCTCTCAGATCCCGAGTGTGGCCATGGGCCTCGGCAGCATTAGGGCTGCCTGCATCTCTCCCTACCCTCGGCGTTGTGTTCCAACAGCCTGCTTTTTCACTAAAGAAAGGCGCGAACTGTTTGTGTCTCTAGAGTGTACAGAAAGCTGTCAGTAATCATTTAATCATCTAATTTCCCTCAGCTGTAATTACAATGACTGATTGACCCAGTCCTGCTAGGCTGACCCCAGCAGCAGTCATGTACGCAGTGGCGGTGGCTGCCAAGTTAGGCCTGCCTCACTTGTTAGCTCATATGAGATAATTAGGTAAAAGACAAAAACGCTTTCCAATATTTTCAGGCCTTCCCTGTGTCCAAAGCTTTGAGGGGACACAGTCCACCTGGGAGCCACTGTTAGCCACCCACCCACCACAAACATTATTAAAAACCTTGACCTCTCTTCAGTTACCCAACAGTGCCTGAGTCAACCCCATCTCTGGCTCTGTCACCTGTGCGACTTTGAGTAAGTCACTTTTCTCTGGACCTCACTTTCCTCCTCTCTAAAATGAGGGGGTTGGTCTAGAAGGCCTTCAAGGTCCCTCTGAGTTCTGACATTCTGGTTCTATGGCCTGTCCTGGCTCTGACATTGTATGTTCTACTATGAATATCCTATGTTCCACTATGAATGTTCTCCCATGAACATCCTCTGTTCCACTATGTACATTCTACTGTGAACATCCTATGTTCTACTATGTATGTTCTATTATGAACATCCTACATTCTACTATGCACAGCCTACTATGAACATCCTATGTTCTACTATGAATAGTCTGCTATGAACATCCTACTCCTATGAGCACCCTACATCTGCTGTGAACATCCCATGCTCTACTATGAATGGTCTGCTGTGAACATCCTGTGTTCTTCTCTGAACGTTCTACTAGGAACACCCATTGTATGTTCTCCTGTTACGATCCTTCACTTCATAGAGAAGACTGAAGCCAGGGCATGTGGTGAATGAGAGCATGGCGTACAGCACTGCACTTTTAGTCAGGAGACCAGGTTCAAATCTAACCTCAGATGCTCTGAACCTGGGCAATTCACCTAAACTTTCTGGGCCTCAGTTTTCTCATCCATCCAATAATGAGGTTGGCCTTGACCTCTGAGGTCAGCCTCTTCTAGCTCTGCATCTATGATCCTATGACCTCCCTCAGCGTACATACCCATATCCCCACCCTGACCCCCAGCTTCTGCATTCCTCAAAACCTTCCAGGGTCATCTTCATCTACTCTATCCTTTCCAGCTCTTCTCCTGGGCTAGGATTTCCTTCCTCTAGGCTGAATGTGAGCCCTCTGCCTTTGTGCTCAATTCCACCCTCTCCAGGTCCTCAACAACCTTTGATGACAGCAGTCTTCTTTCTCATGCGTCATTCAGCCTCGCCTTTTCTGCCACCAGCATGAAGAGGTCTCCCTAAGTCTAAAAAAGACTCCCTTTGACCTCTCAGCTGGCCACCGTGGCATCTCTCACCCTTTCCCCTTTGCTGTCAGACTCCTTTAAAAGTTATATGACATTCCTACCCGCCATGCCTCACATATTGCCACCCACTTTCCGCTCCACTCCTACTTATATGCCTTCTCTCCCCACTGTGCAGAAGCTGCAATCTGGTCCCACCAATGAGCTTCCGGTCCCCCGACCCACGGGTCTTCTTTCAGTCTTCATCCTGCTTGGTCTCTCTGCAGCCTTTGCCACCCTCCCCTATGGGATCCTGCCTCCTCCTTTGGATTCTAAGACACACCACACTCTCCTGGCTCCCCTCCTATTTCCCTTAGCTGCAGATTCTGTCTCCTATACTAGCCTTCTGTCTTCTTCTAAAATCCCCATGGTGGGTATTCCCCAGGACTCTCTTTTTCTCTTCTCGTCTCTTCCCTTCACTTCCTTTCCATATCCTGCCCTCCCCTCTTCCTTTCCCTTCACTTTTCTTTTCCCTCCCCTCCCCTCTTCTCCTTGCCTCTCCCATTCCCTCCTCTTCCCTTCTCTTCTCTTTCTACATTCCATCCATTGGCAATCTTATCCATCCTTATAACTTGGTATACATTTCCTTTCTAGTCTTGAGGCAAGTGCCATCATTTCCGTGTCTGCAGTATCTCTCACGTTTCTCACCTCCTTCTAGTACCTCATTCACCATCCTGAAGGGACATCTCCATTATGCCCTTTTAGCCAGGTTGTCCTGGCCCAACTCTCTCCACACTCCAGACAATCTTTGATTCTGAGTTCTCTATCAGGATGTGTAGGGGCCCTGAACATGAGGATGCTCTGTGCATCTCTTTCTGGGCCCCCTCCTCCCTAGAACAATGTTCTGTACACAGTAGGGACTTGACAAATATCAGCTGGTTTTCATTTCCACCAAATCCCCTTTCTAAGAGCTGTGATGCTAAAGGACTGTGGGTGATTTTTTAACAAACACAGCAGAACTGTATGTTCAGTTTTCTATCTATTTCACCCAAAGTTGCTGTTGCTCAACACGTGGGTGGCGGCTGCTTTCAGACTCCATAGGACATTGTTTTGAATATTTTCAGAGGTTGCAGATGTTCATCCTTTGTGGGTAGATTTAATTTTGGGAAATACCCAGAAGTTGTTCAGGATCAAATCTGGTGAATAATTCAGTTCAATTCCAGAAATTTTATTTTTTTTAATAAAATCTGATTGATATCTTTTGTTTTATACATCAGCTACATTTTCCATTGTATCTTCCACTTCTAGAGAGAGCCATCTGAAGTGTGTGTGTGTGTTGTGTGTGTGTGTGTGTGTGTGTGTGTGTGTGTAAGAGACACAGACAGAGAGGGACTGGGGAGGGAAGGAAGATGAAGTGGGTTTAAATCCTGCCTCTGATGCAGATTAACTGTGACCTTGGGTAAGTCACTGTCTGTGACCCTGGACAAGTCACTGTCTATGACCTTGGGTAAGTCATTCTCTTCTCTGGATCTTATTTTCATTGATTGTCAAATGAAGTAATTGAACTCAAAGTAGATGACCTTTGCTCTGCCTTCCAACTCCAGGTCTCAAATTCTACATGTGCTGGAAGAGCTGGAGTGAGACCCAAGTCCCCTGAGTCTAAGAGGACTCTACTGTACTGTGTCTGGGGACAGCTTAAGGTCACGTGATCAGTGATTTAGTCAGTAGTGGGAACTCCCTCCATCATGATCAATTGCAGCCTATCTATAACTTGGTAGATAACCCCTAGAGAGATGTCTGGGGCACAGGGAAGGGAATGAGCATTTATATGGCTCTTACTATGTGCCAGGCCCTATGCTAAGCACTTGGCAAGTAGTATTTAATTGGATTATTATCTCCATTTTACAGAGGAGAAAACTGAGGCAGAAAGAAGTGAGGTGACTTGACCAGGGTAACCCAGCTAGTCAGTGTCTAAGGCTGGATTTGAATCGATTTCAGGCCCAATCCTCTGCGCACTATGGTGCCTCCTGGCAGCCTCAGGAAGCATAAGTGATTTGTGGAATATAAGCCTAGGTCTTCCTGATTGATGGAATTAATGGATTGATTGGTTGAGTAGTTAATGGGGCACAGTGGATAGAGCTCCAGGCCTGGAGTCAGGAGGATCTACTTTCAAATATGACCTCATACACTTACTAGCTGTGTGATCTTGGGCCAGTCACTTAACCCTGTTTGCCTCAGTTCCCTCATCTGTAAAATGAGCTGGAGAAGGAAATGGCAAATATCCAGTATCTTTGCAAAAAAAAAAAAACAACCAACAAACCAACAAAAAATAAAAACAAATGGGTCTCCAAGAGTTGAACACAACTGAAATGACTGAGCAACTTCCTGATTAGTAAGCCACTCATTCATTGCCTCGGTCACTAGGGCAACATAGATGGAGTAGAAGGTCCTGTGGGGAAGGTCCCATATCTATTTCTTCTCGTCAATTCTTATCCCAAAAAAACCTGGGGGAAATGTGTAAGAAGGAATAAAGACTAGTTGTGTTCTGTATTTTTTTTTTTAACGAATCCCTTGTACCTAAAATAGCCTTCTCTCACCATCTGTGCCTTTGGAGATCCTTCTCATCCTTTAAGGGCTCAGCTTAAATGCCACCTCCTTCATGAAGCTCTCCATGATTTCCCATGGCACCCTGCCACTTATCCTGAAGTGTCTCTGGAGCCATCAATCCAGAGCAAAAAGCCACTCTATAGACCAATGAGTCCAGCCTCTTATTTTACAGAGAACGGAACTGAGTCCCAGTGGGGCTAAGTGCTTGACCAAGAATCACACATATAGGGTCTTCAGAGGGCACACAAGTAAGATTCAAAACCTGATCACTGACTCTGATTTTTCCAGTGATTTAGAGATAGACAAGACAAGACATTAATGGTTATCTTGGTCAATCCTCTGATTTTATGGAGGAAGAGAATGAGGTCCAGAGAGGGGCAGGGACTTGCTCACGGTCACACAGCCAATAAGTAGCAGAGCCTATTAGTTATATTTAGCGATTAATCTTAATGGGGATTCTAGAAGATCGAATTTAATTCCAAAATGCCACTCTCTTGCCTGGTCTACAATGTGACCGTTTCGCTTGTCCTAGCGTGTTGAGGTCTTGCTGCATGGCTCACAAATGGCCTTTGTCCTCTTTCTTGCTTCTTGCTGCTCAGGAAGAAATCAGCCCCTTGGAGAACGCCATCGAGACGATGGAGCTCACCAATGAGAAGATAAGCAACAGCGTCCAACAGCACGCCTGGGACCGCTCGCTCTCCCTACACCCACTCTCCATGCTACTCAACGGCATCGTAGACCCGGCTGTCATGGGTGGATATTCCAACTACGAAAAGGTAGGCATGGCACCTCATAGAACTGAGATGGATGGAGGGATGCATGTGTGGGTGAATGAACAAATGAATGGATAGCTTCCTAGATGTGAGCTGAGTATTAAAGAAAGTCAGACACTCTAAGAGGTAGATGTGAAAAGGGAGATTATTCCAAGCCTGGGATACAGCCTATGCAAAAGCTTGGTGCTGGAAAATGGAGCGCTATGTGCAAGAGGGCTGGACCACAGAGTGTGTATGGAGGAGTAATGTATAAGAGACTGGATTACTACTTGGTGGGGACATTGGAAAGGCTCTTGTTTTTCCAGAATGGGTTAGACTAAATGATCCAAGGTCCTTTCCAGTGCCTAAAATTCTGGAATGTTGTGACATTTAGAGGCAGATGAGGATCTAAAAAAAAAAAAGAAAGGAAGGAAGGAAGGAAGAAAAGAAATCTCCTCCCTCTGGAGATGAGAAAATGGAGTAATCTGGCTTAGCTATTTTCAAAGTTTACAATCAGTTTGAGATTTCCCTTCCTGAGCTCCAGATACTTCCATTCTCTGCCAAGTCACAGAAAGAGGGCTTATAGACTGTTTCCCACATGAAATGCCTCATCTACTTCCATCATTTCAGTTTTTTGCAAATCCCTTTTGCTCTTAATAAGAGGGTGGTTTTCACAGCACTGAAAAGGAAAAATGAAGGGGCCTTTGAAGTCAAAAGCTCTTTCCAAAATAAGACAGAGACAGGCAGGGAAGGGAGACAAGTTTCGTAATCAAAGTTTAAGAAGAATGTTAAAGCTAGCATGGGGATTGCCAGGCATAGACCCTTGCTTCACGGTGGCTTTCCATCATTTCTTTTTTAAATCTTCTATTTCTCTGTAGAAATCACCACCTTCCTCAATGTCCTAATTTCCTCTTCCCTCTCCCTAATTTCTCATTTCCGTTGAGTTAAGTTAGATCCCCAGCTCTAGAGTCTATGATTCTATGAGCCATAAGTTGACAAGCATTTATTAAGCACTACTTACTGTAATCCAGGTGCTGGGCTGAGCCCTGTTGAGGGTCCCACCATTTTCTTTTTCTTTTTTTTTTCTTTTGTAATTTTTAAAATTTATCTTAAACTTAAATACAAAATAAGAAAAAACATTGCCAACGTACACAGCAGAACACGAGGGAGGATTCAATATAAGATAAATTTCCATTTTAAAAATTCTATATAATAAATACTACACATTTTTTTCAAAGCTGCCCAGCTTTTCCTTGATTCCTTGTAGGTTTCCTTTTATTTTCTACTGTACACTTTTTACTTTATTTTTTTTCCCCTCTCTCCCCTCAAAGAAGGCTACAGTTAAGTGTGGATATATACATAAATATATACAAGTGGAAATGTGTCATATATCTATATACATATCTATATACATAGATATCTATAAACATACACATATATACACATCTACACTCATACATATATATATGTAAGACCCAACTATGCTTATTTCCATCTATCATCTGTTTCTCTGAGGGTGGATAGCATCTTCCTTCATAGGTCCAAGTCTTTCTGTGTCTTTCTAAATCAACCAGCTCATCATTTCTCATACCACAGCAATATTCTGACCCAGTCACATCCTATCTGAGAAACTGTCTATGAAAGTTTTTTTTTTTCCCCCAGTTTTCTGCCCTTTTCTATTCTTGGCTACATAGGTTTTGTTTATACAAGGAAATTTTAATTTAAAATAATTGAAATGATCCATTTTGCACTTCAACAATGATCTCACCTGACAATATAGTTTAAAGTCTGATACTGCTGAATCTACTTCCTTTACATCTCGTTTCCCTGTTTTCTTCATAGTTCCTGACTTTTTGTCTTCCAAGTGAATTTTGTTATTATTTTTTCTGACTCAGTAAGATAATTTTTAGTAATTGGGATGACGTTGAATAAATAAATTAGTTAGGTAAAACTGTCATTTTAAAAAATATGTTGTCTTTACCTGCCCATGAATGATAAATATTACTTCAATTATTTAGATCTGACTTTATTTGTATAAAAAGTATTTCGTGTATATGTTCATAGAGTTCATATGTCTGTTTTGGCAGGTGTATTCTCAGGTATTTTATACTGTCTAGTTATTTTAAATGGTCTAAAACAATGTTGAATAATATTACTGACACATAGTATGGTTTCTCTTTTTCTCTTTTGATTAAACCTATTTTAACTTTAACTTTGTCTGATATCATGATTACTATCCCTGCTTTTTTACATAATTTTATCTTTGTGTGTATCTCTTATTTTTGTAGTGCTTCCTGAAAGCAACATATTGTTGAATTCAAATTATTAATCTGCTAGCCATTTCCATTTCATGGGCAAATTCATCCCATTCATGTTCTAAGCTACCTGTGTATATTCCTCCTTCCTATTTTTCTCACTATCCTTCTCACCCTATTTACCCTATGTCTTCTCACTTCTCTGCTTTATTTCTTACCTACTATGTTGCCCTCCTATTCCTTAACCTACCCACCCCTCTAAGAGTACCTTCCATATCCTCTTCCCTCACCCTATCGCCTTGTCCTCTTATTTCTTTTTTTTTTAATTTTTTTTAAAATTTTTGCTTTTTGGTGAGGCAATCAGGGTTAAGTGACTCACCCAGGGTCACACAGCTAGTAAGTGTGATGTGTCTGAGGCCGGATTTGAACTCAGGTCCTCCTGACTCCAAGGCCGGAGCTCTATCCACTGTGCCACCTAGCTGCCCCTTGCCCTCTTACCTCTTTCTGAATTTAGAAGACTTTTATACCCTTCTAGATATAGATATATGCGTTGTTCTCTCTTATCCCATTCCTGATGAGAGTAAGTTTCCAGCACTACCCAACCTTCCCCCTACTAGCTTCTTCTGTACCAATTTTTTCTTTTACACCTCATCAGTATGAGATAATTACCCCTATTTGTTTTTCCCTCCACAGTTTTATTATTTTAGAATCACCCCATCATATACAGCTCAGCCTGAGCCTTTCTTTCAAACTACCCAAATAATGATGACAGTCTTAAGAGTACTGTTAATATTTTCACTTATAAGAAGTAAACAACTTGACCTTATTGAGTTCCTTATAATTGATCTTTAATGTTTATCTTATACATCTCCTGGATGTTATACATTGAATTTTCCCTTAAGTTCCAGTGTTTTTGCCACAAAAACCTGAAAGTCTTTCAGTTCATTAAATTTCCATTTTTTTTTTCATTAGGGATTATACTTAACTTTACTGGGTTAGTTATTTGGTTGTAACCCCAGCTCTTTTGCTCTATGGAATATAGTATTCCAAGACCTACTGTCCTTCAGTGTAGTAGCGTGTAGGTCTTGTGTAACCATTATTATAGTTCCATGATATTTAATTTTTTTTCTTGTTGCTTCCAATATTTCCTCTTTAATCTGGAAGCTTTGAAACTCGACTCTGATATTCCTGTAAGTTTTCCTCTTGGGATCTCCTTCAGGTGGTGATCAGCAGATTTTTTTCTATTTCTGCTTTGCCTTCTTGTTCTAGAACTTCAGGTCAATTTTCCTTGATAATTTCTTGTAATTTTGTATCAAGATTCTTTTTTTAATGGTAATTTTCAGGTAGCCCATCTATTCTTATATTATTTTTCCTTGATCTGTTCTCCAGATCAGTTGTTTTTCTGATGACATATTTCCTTTCTCTTTTATTTTTTTCATTCTTTGATTTTGTTTTATTATTTCTTGGTGTCGTAGAACATCATTAGCTTCCCCTTGCCCAGTTCTAGTTTTCAAGGAATTATTTTCTTCCTTAAGTTTTTGGTTCTTTATTTCAAGTTGATTGACTTTTCCTAATTTTCTTGATTTTTTTCAATTACTCTCATCTTTTTTTTTCTTCTATGTCTTCCTTAATCTCTCTTATTTGATTTTTAAAGTCATTTTTCAAGTCCGTCCAAGAACTCTTTTTGCATTTGGGGCCATTTGACATTTCTTATTGAAAAAGTATCATTCTCACCATTAAGCATGGTGCCATAGGTAGATTTTCCTTCGTGTTTGCATCACGACACTGAGCCCAGGATCCAAGTCTCCAAAGCCTCCAGTCAGAGCAACCGCTCCCATTTCTATGATAACCCGGAGGTTTGCAAAGTGATTTATGTGCATCCTCTCCTTTGGGTCTCACAATAGGTGAGGGGGTCCTTATTTTTTGCCCATTTTAAAGATGAGAAACCATGATCCCATAGAGATGAAATGACTCGCCCAAGATCACATGGGGAGTAAGCAGGAGAGCAGATGTTGTTGTTGTTATTTGTCCTTTGTTTTCGAAGAGAACCAAGGACATCACTAGATTCGAACCCACGTCCTCCTGTTCCAAATCTGGCTGCGCTCTCTTCGGTGAACCATGCAGCCTCTCCAAGGGTGGGCAGACTGCTTCTAGGAAACGCACGCTGTGTGGAAGCCGAGCAACAGGCAGTGTGATCCAGTGGGAAGAGCACCCCCAGCGCAGTCGTTTAATGCCTGGCTAACCTTAGGCAAGGGGGTCACCTCTCTGGGGTCCAGCTTCCTCCCCTGAAATAATAGTAATAATAATAATGATAATTAATAACTAACATTTATGTAGCACCTACTATGTGCCAGGCACTGTACTAAGCACTTTAGACTTATCTCATGTAATCCTCACAACAACCTTGGGAAGTAGGTGCTATTATTATCCCCATTTTACAGATGAGAAAAATGAGGCAAACAGAGGTTAAGTGACCTGACCAGGGTTACACCACGATAAGTGACTGAGGCTAGATTTGAACTCAGGTCTTCCTGGCTCCAGGTCTAGTGCTCTATCCATTGTGCCACCAGTTGCCCCCATAAAATGAGGGGAATGTATCAGATAGTCTCCCAGGTCCTGTTTAGCTTTAAAGCTGCAAGTATATGTAACCATGAGCAAGTCATTCCACCACCGTAGGCCTCAGTTTCCCCATCTGTAAAATGAGGAGGTTGGACCACATGGCATCCCAGGTCCTTTCCAGCATGCGTTTTAAAACTGGGATCAGGTTGTGACTTTGGGTGAATTACTCCATATCCCTGGGCCTCAGTTTCCCCATCTGTAGAATGAGGAGGTTGGACCACATGGCATCCCAGGTCCTTTCCAGCATGGGTTTTAAAACTGGGATCAGGTTGTGACTTTGGGTGAATTACTCCATATCCCTGGGCCTCAGTTTCCCCATCTGTAGAATGAGGAGGTTGGACCACATGGCATCCCAGGTCCTTTCCAGCATGGATTTTAAAACTGGGATCAGGTTGTGACTTTGGGTGAATTACTCCATATCCCTGGGCCTCAGTTTCCCCATCTGTAGAATGAGGAGGTTGGACCACATGGCATCCCAGGTCCTTTCCAGCATGTGTTTTAAAACTGGGATCAGGTTGTGACTTTGGGTGAATTACTCCATATCCCTGGGCCTCAGTTTCCCCATCTGTAAAATAAGGGAGTTTGACCAGAGGTCCTCTGAGGTCCCTCCCAGCTCTGGGTTCTATGACTGTCTGATCCCTGACAACCCTGACTCTCAGGCAGAAGTGGGCCCACACTTTTGTTGTTCCCCCTTTACTCGCAGGCCTCATCCCCCAGGCCGGAGTGACCGTCTCACAGCTGCTTCTTCTCTGTACTCTGCCCTCAGGCCTTTTTCACGGAGAAGTACCAGCAGGAGCACCCGGAGGACCAGGAGAAGGTTGAGCTGCTCAAACGCCTGATTGCCTTACAGGTATGCACCTGGAGATGACTGTTCTCCGAGGAGCAGCTTCTGGTGGACAGGGATTCCCCATCCAGTGGGCCAGCCTTGAGCCCACTGAGGAGACCTGAAAGGACTGGAAGCCCCTGGTCAGTGGCAAAGTGAAGGGTGCAAAGCCTGGAGTCGGGAAGGTCTGGGAGCTCCATGGGCTCTTGGCCATTAGAGACCCGAGTTTTAGACCCAGCAACAGTGTATTTGTGCCCACTGCTGAGTTTCATTAAATGATCATTTGAGACAGCCATGCTCTCATGTAATCTCCCCACAGGTGCTACTTTTTCAGTTCACTTTTCGCTGGCATGAGAAAAGTTACCTATAGTTGAAGAGCAAAATCTTAGTGGGAGGGAGAGGCATCGAGCAGACCTGAGTTCAAATCCTACCTCAGGCACTTACTAGCTGTGGGACCTTGGGCAAATCACTTTACCACTCTGCACCTCAGTTGCCTTCTTTGTAAAATGAGGAGGCTGGATGGGGTCCCTGAGTTCCTTTCTAGCTCTTCATCCATGACCCTTTGGTAGAGTATGTGATTAGGAACTGGACCCTGTTTCATCCTTGCATGTGGCAGCCCTCGTTCTTAAACTGCCCCTTCCCCGCTCCTGTGTTTACTCTGCAGATGCCCCTGCTTGGAGAGGGCATCCGACTTCATGGGGAGAAGCTAACGGAGCAGCTGAAGCCCCTGCATGATCGGCTCACCACCTGTTTCCGGGAGCTCAGGGAGAAGGTGGAGAAACTCTATGGAGTCATAACTCTGGTGAGCTTCGTCTGAGAACAAGACAATCTTAGCACCTGACCTCCAAACTCTCTAGGCTAATTTCATGCCAATTTCCCTCTTTCTTTTTAGTGTTTTATTAATGCCTTTATTGCTTTCTAAGAAATTTTATTTATATCTTTTTTATACATCTTTTGTTTTCACTGCATAGATTTTGTCATGTATCTTTCTCTCATCACTTAAAAAAGAGAGAAGCAAGAATAAAAAAGTTCAGTAATACCAATCCATATATAGAAAAAAAATGGATGTTAATATGCAGTGCTGCACATGCATGAACTTCCCCACCTCTACGTCTCCCCTTTTCTCATTTCTCTTCTGTGGGCCAAATCTTGTCCTTTCTAATTTCTCAGCATTAATTTTTTTTATTGTATTTTACATTTGTTTTGTTATAGACGTTTTGCATATTATTTTTCAGATATTTCTCCCCACGATTGTAAACAACTCTAACTCTTAGTGTCTTTCCTTTCACTTTTTCCTCCCTCCCTCTCTACTGGCCTTGGGAGACCCCCCTTTCCCTTCCTTCATTTCAGACACTAGCATGGTTTTTTCTTGTCCCCTCCAATAATTACAGCAAGCCTAGTGCTTAAGACAGTTTAGTTTCTTATTTCACGTCTTTAGTTTCTAAGCTGTCAGATCTCTATACACTCAAAAATTCATAGAATTTTTTAAAAAATGTTTTTAGTCAATATATTTTTTCTTGCATCATTTCCAAATATATCTCTCCCTCTTGTCCCTTCCCTTTGTTAAATATATATATTTTAGACATTCTTTGTGACAAAGAATAAAAAAAAAAGGTAAAAAATGTTCTGCAGAACCAGTCACTACATTTCTACCTGGCTGACCTTTGAAAAATCACAACTTAACTCCAATTTTCGTCATCTGTAAAATGAGCAGTTTGTATCTGATGGCCTCTAAGAACCCTTCTTGTTCTAAATTGATAACTCTGTTTTCAATCATACAGTGAGTTCAATATTCCATAGCCAGAGTCAACAGCCTTTTGTGAGGGAGTAAAGAACAGGAAATAAAGAGGGTACCCAGGAGTAAGGGAATGACTATAAACAGACCCTATTGGGAAAGTAAGGGAATATTATTGTATGGCAAGCAATGAGAAGCGTGAAGAATTCAGAGAAACATGAGAAGATTTGTCTGAATGGACACAAGGTCAAGTAAGGGGAGCAGTAAATACAATGACTACAATAATGCAGATGAAAAGAATGCTGAAAGGCATGTCACCTCTGAGTAACTGCAGTGACTCATCTTCCTTTCAGAGGATCAGTACTGAAGCTGACCTTCTTCCTCTTGGCAGAAAGGCGAGCACCTTTGGGTGAAGAATGTCGCATGTACTGGCATATGTCATTCCCCTATCAGCTGTCAGCTTAACTGACTTTCTGGGTTATAAGTGAGAGCTCAGAGGAGACTATATGTTTGACCTAATGGGGCCTGCTGGCCCTTCTCAGAAATGTGCAGTGTACTCAAGCATGTTTCATGAACAGGTACCTGGAGACGAATGACAATCAGGTTACAATATCTACTTACAACATCCTTGATTGAGTATAGCCTGACTTCTTTTCCTACTGGAGACAGTTGTAACTGAAGGGGCTCCATCACTGTAGCTGGGGTCCAACATTCTTCCTTTCTACCAGTATTCATTAAAATACATTTGGAAGAAGCAGGATTGGGGAACTTTCAAGGATTGACCAGCTTGTTTTGTTTATGTGTTATTGATTTTTTAAAATTAGTTTATTTTAAACTTAAATACTAAAACTTAAGTATGCAAGAAAAAAAAAGAAACATAAATTGAAATACAAAATAAGAAACAAATGCATTGCCATGTGCACAGCAGAATGTGAGAGAATTCAAAATACACAGCAATAAATTTCCATTTCAAGAAAGCTTATATAATAAATACTACACATTGTGCTCAGAGCTGTCCATCTTTTCTTTGCTTCTTTGTAAGTTTTCTTGTGTCCTCTGCTGTGCACTTTTTACTTTATTCTTTTTTTCCCCCCTTCTTCACCCCCACCCCAAGAAGGCTACAATTAAGCGGGGATGTGTATATATATATATATATATATATATATATATATATATATATGTACATATGTATGTACATATGTATGTGTATGTATATATGTATGAATATATGCATATGTATGTATGCACATGCATATGTGTATGCATCTATATACACTTCCATATACATACTTACACAAACATATACACATGCATACACCCACACATACTTAGATATCTGTAATCATCCTCATATATAGATGTATACATTGATGCTTTTTTTTGGTATCACTCTCACTTTCCAGGAACTATCCTACCATACAACCCTAACTTTTAGCATGGAATAACAGTTAAGCTAAGCACAATGACACATTGAATATATCTGGCAGAGTATGCCACATTCCCCACCTGTGGGCCCCCACCTCTCCACCAAGAGCAGGAAGTGGGTTCATCACCATCAGTCCTCTGGAATCACGATTGCGGATCCGTTCTCCTGCCGTTGCTCCTTTTTCTGTTTTTCTTCCACGGAAGGGACGCATTTGCTTCTGTTTTCCCTCTCCTTGGTACCTCCTGGAAGTTGACCTAACTGTGTCCACCCTGGACCCTGAGCTGCGTCTATTGCAGACTGTGCCCATAGACCTACTGTTCTTGTGCTCTTCAGCCTCCCACCTTGACGGAGAGGAAGCAGAGCAGGACGGGGTCGGTGGTGCTGCCGTACATCATGTCTTCCACCCTACGGCGATTGTCCGTCACCTCGGTGGCATCCTCGGTGGTCTCCACTTCTTCCACCTCCTCAGATAGCACCCCCTCCAGGCCAGGATCCGATGGGTGAGTAGAAACCGGGCCTTTGGTCACAAAGGCTGGGAATGGATCAGTCCCAGCCACTCACCACTGATGAGAAAACAACAAAGTGTGTCCTACTTGGGCTATACTATCATCCTATTATTATAAAGAATCTTCCTGACCACGTTACTCCCTCCCCGAGAAGTTTCAATGGCTCCCTATTGCTCCTAGGACAAAATATAGTCTCCCCAACTTGAGACATGAAGCCTTTTGCAGTCTGGCTTCCACCTACCTTTCCATGCCTATTTCTGTTCTTTAATTTTTTAAATTACCAAAAAGCTATTTTCTCTCCCTCCCACTTAAAAGGACAACAACAAATGTTCACAACGTTCTTATTTCACATTATATCCCTCCCAGGACTCTACTTTCCAGCCAACAGTTCTCTTTGTTGTTCTCTATGTGGAGAACTCTCGTCTGCCTTCATGCCTCTATCCCCCCGCCCGGAACACTCTCACTCTTTATCCTGCCTCTCATCCCTAGTCTCCTTCTCAAGCACTGTCCCCTGCATCGGGGATTCTTAACATGTCTGTGGCATGGACCCTTCAGCAGCCTGGGGAAACATCTGGACCTGTTCTCAGGTTCCTGGCTTTACATGCATAAAATAAAACATGTGAGATTACAGAGGACACTACTAGACTGAAATATAATTATCAAAATATTTTCTTAAAAGAAGTTCCAGGCCCCTGGTTGCATTCCCCTGCTCTATAAGAAGCCAGCAGTCTCCTTCCTGAAATTACCTTCCATTTCCTTGTGTCCGTGTTACAGCCTCCTAGAAAAATATAAGGTCCTTAAGGGCAGGACTCCTTTTGGGTTTGGGTCCCCTTTGGCACAGGGCCTAGCACAAAGCATTGTTGTCATTCGGATGTTTCACTTGTGTCCAACTCTTTGTGACCCCATTTGGAGTTTTCTTAAAGACTCAACTTCCTAAGTTCAAATCCATCGCGGATATCTAAGTAGAAAGAGACCTCGAGGGGCAGTGGGGCCCACCTCCTTCCTGCCTGGAGAGGGGAGAAGCTGGCCTTGGTATTAAGTACCAAGCTATGGGTCCTGTGTTGGAGTTTGTTTTCTTTTCTCTCAAGTGAGAATGAGCCTGGGTAGGATTAAGAGAAGTGACAAGCAACAGCTGTAATTTTCTGATTGTTTTTCTGAATCATTCACCCCGTCTGGGCCTTACCACAATCCTGCCAGGTAAGGGAAGGCAAGGCCGATGACTGTTGTTTTATAGATGAGCAAAGATCCCACAGTGACTCATTAGCAGAGTCAGCATCAAAACCAAGGCCTTTTGGGGTATTTTTAAATCAGGGTTAAGTGACTTGCCCAGGGTAACACAGCTAGTAAGTATCTGAGGATTTGATTTGAACTCAGGTCCTCCTGACTGTAGGACTGATGTTCTATCTACGACACCACCTAGCTGACCCCCTTTTTGAGTATTTTTCTACTACATGAATGAAATACAGAAAGTTTAAGACAACCTGGGGTTGAATTAAATCAATTCTATTAATTTAGTTAATTAGCTAATGGTAATTTTTAATTAACAAACATTTATTAAGCACCTGCTATATTTAAGACACCATCATTCCTCCTATGAAAGACCCATCCAAGATCCCACCTTCAGGTCGATGGTCATTAGGGAGAGCGACCTGGGATTTGGGGAAAGGAACAAATAATGAGATTGTGTCCTTTTTCCTGGGCACCAGGTCCATTCTGGAGCCCCTGCTAGAACGGCGAGCTTCGTCAGGGGCCAAAGTGGAAGATGTGTCCCTCAGAGAAGACAGTGATAATCGGATCAGCAAGTTCAAGAGGAAAGACTGGAACATTAGCAAATCTCAGGTCATCGCGGAGAGAGAGCCGGAAGCTGACCTGCTGGTAAGTCACAGTGGGCATGGGCCCCAGCTTCTCTGCAGGAGCCAAATTCTCAGAGTCAGGGAGGGAGCCTTGTTGGCCATGACTTCCAGTTAGAGCCCAGACCACAGCTTGCTTCCAAATGTGCTTACTGGCAGCTTAGGAGAGACTGAGGAATCTACATACAGGGAAATACATTCTGCTCCCTGAGAGCTGGAAGCTCTTGGTAGACACCAACTCAAGGCTCTCACGCCGTGGTGTCAGCAAGTGGGCCCATACCTTAGCCTGTGGTCCTTTGCATTCCTGCTCCATGACTCAGTCCCCAAACTCCATCTGTCCTCCTCTCGTAACTGGGGCCAGGGGAGGAGGGGGGAAGTGAAGAATTTTTGTGGTTATTTTTCATGAGCCACTTTGGGCTATGTCTGGCAAAGGCAACCCTTCCTGGGAGGAAAGGGGAATCTGAATGATGCAGGCTAGAAAGAACACTGGATCATAGAGTCATAATGAGATCCTAAATTTAGAGCTAGAAGCCATTTTAGAGGTCCCCAAACCTGCCCCCTTATTTTATGAGGAAACTCAGGCTCTGAAAGGTTAAGTAGTGGAGTCACAGAGCTAATAAGTATCCAAAGGGGAAAGACTTAAACTCTGGTATTCCTAAAACTGAGTCCAGTTCACTATACACTACACCATAGTCAGGAAGACCTGAATTCAAATCCTGCCTTAGACACTCTCTAGCTGTGTGACCCTGGGCAAATTACTTAACTTCTGTATGCCTCAGTTTCCTTATCTGTAAAATGGGCCTGGGTGGATGAAATAGCCTCTGCCACCCCTTCTAGTTCTAAATCTATGCTCCTTTGGTCTATGAAGACTCCACTGACCAACCGTTGATGTTCACTGATCCCCTCAAAGACCTTAGCCGTTATCTGACTCCACTCCGTTGTATGCTTTGGTAAGGGGGATGAAAGCCTTTGATGTACCTGCCCCTCTCCATCAACTCTCTTGTCCAGAGGGAAGTGCTCAAGCGTGGAAACCCATTTGGCCTCCAAACTGAGGCATTACTGCTTCTTCTCTTCCTTGTCTTTTCTCTCCCTAGAGCCCTGCTAGCAAGGTACAAAGACCCAAGAGTCTCCAGCTAGTGGACAGTCGGCTGACCTTGTTGCAAGGCTCCCCCCTGCCTTCCTCTATGGCCCTGAGCCCACCGCCACTGACCCCGAAAACACCCAGGACCCAAAGTAAGTTCTCTTCATCTCGTTTTTTCAACTCTTGAGGACAGAAGAACACAGTCCTCCCTGCCCCCAGTGGTCTGTGCCACGTCTGGGTCTTCTAAACTTGCTTGCTGCATTGGCAGCAGGTACAGAAGGAAGAATAATAGTAACAGCCACAGTACCCTACATTTCTGTAGTGTATTCAAATTACAAAACTCTTTGATAGCAGTTAATTCATGTGATACTCAAGCCAAAGTTTCCTTTGACTTTTTGGAGAGGCATTATCCAAGAGAAAGAATCTAGCTTGGGAGTTTTAATAGAGATGAATGGAAAGGAATCCTCGGAAGGCCAGTACCAAGGCTTGAATCTCCATATTGCTTTTCTCCCTACTTGACTTTTTGATTCTCATCCTTTCCAGGCTCTCCAACATTGCAGGTAGATGGGCTGATGTCTTCTGGTGCAAAGACAGTCCCGCCCCCACCCCCTCCCAAGAGCAAGCCCTATGAGACCGGCAGCCAGAGGAACTCGGCAGAGGTAGGGGATCGGAGTGACGGTGCTCACTTCACTGGCCATGTAGTTTTCCAGGTTGCTTTAAGCAGAGAGTGTCTTACCTGAATGGCTCCTGTTTCACTTCTGGAATGAGCAAGCAGCCTTACCCTCTTGTTGAAAAAAAGTCCATGTCACCCATCTTCTCTTCAAGACAGGGTGGCCGGGATGGGACGAAGAATGGGTCAGGACCCATGACTTGATGGGTTTAGGGGAGCTTCTGGTGAGGAAAGCCCCTCTCCTAGTGCAGATCAGTAATTATGCTGAAGCTTACAATGTTGGAGAATTGCCTAGGGCTCTGAGTGGTTAATAGTGAATGAATGAATGAATGAATGAATGAGTGAATGAATAAATGATGAATGAATGAATGAATGAATGAATGACATTTATTAAGCATTTACTATGTGCTCAAAACTAGGGATACAAATACAGGCAACTAGGATAGCATCTGCCCTCAGGGCACTTGCTCTATCCCAGGAAAAGAAAAGGGAGATATAAAGGAGAGAGGCAGGAACCTCATACAGGGGCTTGGTTTGATAATGATTGAAGACTTGTGTGGGACCTTGGTTCTGCTCAAGATAAGACAGAAGCTCATCAGTCAGAACAAAGCTAATAACAGTAATCATGATGGCTAACATTTATGGAGTGCCTTAGAATTTGCAAAGCCATATATGTGCATGTTCATGTCTTAGCTCTTGGTATAATCACGTGTGCACACACACATTCAAATCCAGCCTCAGCCTCTTGCCATCTGTGTGACCCTGAACCTCTGTCTGCCTCAGTTTTCTCATCTATAAAATGGAGTAATAATAGCACCTACCTCACAGGGTTGTGTGAGAATCAAGTGAGACAAAAGTTATAAAGCACAGTGCCTGGCACATAGAACGCACTCAATAAAAGCTTGTGTTCCCCCCACCCCACCTGATCCTCAAAAGAACCAGGTGTTTTAGGTGGTTTTATTATCCCCATTATACAGATGAGGAAACTGAGCTTAAGAGAGGATGAATGACTTGCCTGGGGTCACCCAGCTAGTATGTATCCAGGACAAGACTTGAATTGAAGCCTTCCTTCCTTGCTGCCTCCCCAGGACGAGGAATAATGTCTTAAATTTCAATACATCAGAGTGACAGGTGTTCTGAGTTATCCCCCCAGTTCAGGTCTATGCGGACTCAGTTTACCAATCTGTAAAAGGAGCTTGCATGCACTGCCTCCTGTGCCAGGTTGTTGTGAGGAAAGTGCTTTGTAAATCTGAAGGTGCTACCTAAATGTGAGTGATCGTTTTTGTGTGTGTGTGTGTGTTCGAGTTGCCCAGGGGTGGAGAAGGCAGTATTAAGAAGGAGAAGGAATCCTTCTTGCTCTTTTTGTGCCTTTTGCAAACCCTTGCAGAGGGATACTGTGTTCCATCAACCAAAATCTGAAAGATGCACGGTAGGAAAAAAAAAAGGATGGGAATGAATGAGTGAGTGAGAGAAGGAATGAATGAATGAAAAAGATTTATTAGGCAATTATTAGGTTCCAAACTGAGGGTAAAACAACAAAATCAGGACAATCCCTAGGGGAGGGATCAGGGAAGGGAGTTTTGCTCTGGGGAATCACAAAGGTAATAAACAGAGGTCTAGAGAAGACGTGATTAATTTTTTATTAACTTTGATTAATTTTTGTTAATGTTCCCAGAACAAGAAGTGAAAAATGGGTAGCAGGGAGCAGGGTATGCACATGACAGCCAGGCCAGGCCTGTGGCAAGAAGATGGCTAACATGGATAGTGTATGGCTATATGGGATTTAAAGCATGGCCTAGTTGGCCTGGGACCGTAAAAATATAATGAAGAAATAACTAACCTTGGGTTAGGAATAAGGAAATAAAATCCTTTTCTCTTACTCCTACCCCATTATGCATCTGCTCTCTCAGGTTGCACCCCCGCTTCCTGTCCGTCGAGAAGCCAAGGGCCCACCACCTCCACCTCCCAAGGCCCGCAAGTCCGGAGTGCTCTCATCGGAGCCAGGATCACAATGAAGACCCTGCTCTTCCTCAGTCCTTGTCTAGTATTTTGGGAGCTGCCAACATGGACAGCCTGTCTCAAGACCAGCCTCCAAAAGGCAATGGCGCCATTGCCCTAGTTTTCCATCCCCTCTCATCTGAGATGACCTTGAACCCGGATCGATTCTTTTGAAAGCTTCCCGCACAGTCATCTCACACCTTCTTCACTCACTTGTGATCATCAAGCATCTACCTTCAGCCCACAGCCATCTGGGCCTCCAAAGAGTCTCCTGCCAACTGGTTATCCAGAGTGACCCTTGACTCCTTTTCCTGGCCATGACAGGCATTTCTCGCTTTGCTTCCGAAAAGCAACGCTGGAGTTTGGGTTCCCTTCCTTATGGACGTACCCCCTTCCATGTACCTAAACAATAACAGAGCCACACAACGGGGCCATTTTGGGTAGCTGAAGTAACAATAATTCATTAATATGTATGATGTGCCCTTTGAGAAAAGGGAATGTGTCTAAGGTAAGGGCGGGTGCACCACCTTTTAGCAATGATGTAAAAGGGACACCCGTTCAGGAAGGATTGCACTAGAGGGCTGCTGAGGTACCTCTAAAATCCTATAATTCCATGAGTTCATGGGCAGTTTACAAGGAGCCATGTTGATCGTGGCTGTGAATTGGAATGAAAAGATAGGTGGGGTTCTGCCACTCCAATGGCCAGAAGAACTCAAAGACTTTTAAATAGTTGAGATGATATTAAATTCTGATTATACCAAGAGCTAAAAGCAAAGAATTTCTCCTACGTGGAAAACCTTCCAGATGATCTGGTTACATCAAGGGTCTTATCTGTTCTCCTGAGAGCCTGCATCCCTTGCCTAACTGGTGGCCTTCAGTTCTGGGGATTCTGTCAAGTTAACAAACACCTATTAAACACTTCCTGTGTGCCAGACATGGTGCCAAGTACTGGGAATACAAACACAATTAGAAAGACTGTCCCCTCCTGCAAGGAGCTTATGTTCTCATGAAGAAGACAGCACTTAAAAGTATAGATGCTGAGGAGAGAGGGCTTCCCAGAATGGATCTTGGAGAGGCAAGTTCCCTCCCTAGGGTCTTCATTTTATTATAACTGCCTCTACTTTCTCACCTGTCACACAACCAGTCACACACAGCCCCACTGCATTACCTCCTCTGAGCTGGTGTGAAGTAAACTGTGGAGTCTAGGTGTGAATGTCACTGCCCCAGTCAGGCTGACTTCAGTCTCCTCCATCCCACTTTCCATGGGCTCCAACCTTCAGTCTCCTCCATCCCACTTTCCATGGACTCCAAGCTTCAGTCTCCTCCATCCCACTTTCCATGGACTCCAAGCTTCAGTCTCCTCCATGCCACTTTCCATGGAGTCCAAGCTTCAGTCTCCTCCATCCCACTTTCCATGGACTCCAACTTTCAGTCTCCTCCATCCCACTTTCCATGGACTCCAAGCTTCAGTCTCCTCCATCCCACTTTCCATGGACTCCAAGCTTCAGTCTCCTCCATCCCACTTTCCATGGACTCCAACCTTCAATCTCCTCCATGCCACTTTCCATGGAGTCTGACCTTCAGTCTCCTCCATCCCCTTTCTATGACTCAGTGGCCCAATCGTGCTTCTATGTTTGACAGGACTTTCCTTTTCCACACATTTGATTTTGCCTTATAAGATCTATAACAATTCCCCAAAGTAAGCCCCTTGCTTTCTCCATAGAATTGAGAAATTTGTAAGAACCTCCAGAACCTACACGATGCCCTAAAAATGTCTGTCTATTTTGGTCTGAGCCTGTGAAGTGGGGATCTCCTGTCCACACAGATCCACGACTGCCCTTTGGGATCACAGTTGTAGAGGTGCCTGGGGGTACTGAAGGGTTAAGTGATTTGGCCCTGCTCAGTGTGGGTCAGAAGCAGGGCTTGAACCCCAGTCTTCCTGGCTTTTAGGCCAGGTCTTCATCCAGTCAGCCACATTTCCTCTCTCCCTGCACGTAGCAGGTGGTTCATAAATATTTGGAAGCTCTGACACTTTCTTAGCTGTGTGGCCCTGGGCAAGTCACTTTGTACCAAAAACGATCAGCCAGCAAGACCATTTCCAATAGGGGTGAGGAAGGGGATCAGAAGAGGCTTCATGAAGGAAGTGTACTTAAGTTGGACTTTGAAGGATGAGTGGGATTTCAACAGGTGAAGACTGGGTGTGTGCACAGTGTCTAGATGGGGAGGTGTCCTGCCCATTCCAGGTTTTAGCAGAAAAAAAGGGCATGACTTTGAGCCCCCTGGAATTATCACACCTACAAGGGACCCTACCTGAAATCATTCCCTTCCCATGTAATTGAGTCTTTCTTAGACACAAGGGTTTTTAACCTGAAGTCTATGAACTTAGATGGGAAAAAAATTATGATAAATTATGAATATGAGTGGCCAATATTATCCTGAGAAGGTGTCCCTAGGCTTCACCACACCGAGAAAGGGGTCCAGGACATGAAAAAGGGTAAGAAGCCCTGCTTTAAAGGCAGAAAAAGTCAAAAAAGGACCTCAAGAATTGGTGATTTGGGTTTTCCCCCTGCCTTCTTTTAGTATCATCATCCTTCATCCCCTCTCTCCTACACCTGGAGGGAGATGAGCCTAGATGAGAAAACCAGAAAAGCAAGAAACTGACCCAGTCTCAAGCCCCCACCCCAGGAAACTGGTATTCAGAGGTGACAGATGTCATGGAAAGACCCCTGCACTTGGAGGCCTGTCTTCGCCATTGTCTTTGTGTCCTACCAGAGTCACTAGCCTTCCCAAACCTCAGTTTCCTCGTCTGTAAAACAAGGGGGTTGGATGAGATGCAGACTTTCAGGAGGGCAGATGGACAACAGTTGGCATGAGGGGGTCTGGAGCTCTTCGTGTTCCTTCCGGCCCCCAAAGTCCCTACACTTCAGTCTCTTACTGAAAGGTAGAGAACTGGTCCGTGAAAGAGGCAAAAGAGAAACTTGGACCACAGCCTTGGGAAGCATTAAGGATAGAGGATGCCCCCAGCTGTCTGGTGGGCTAACTGTGGTGCTCTGAGGACTGATGGATCTTTCCCTTCACAGTCTTTCTGCCTGTGTTTTATCTGGAGATCAAGTGTTTTCCATATTAATGGAAATTGTTCTCTAACCTCCCCCCCCCCACTACCACACACACACTCACACCACAACCCTTTAAATGCATAGAATTCAGTGAGGATTGTGGAAAGCAGAAGAGGATTATAAAGGAAGAGAACTGGCTATGGGACCATGTATTCTAATCGTTAGCATGGAATAGAATTTCTGACATCAAGTGTCTGCGACATTGGCAAAAAAAGGGGCAACCCCCAACAATCTCCCCACTTCACAAGCTACCAACATGGTCTACCATGTCTAGAACATTTCAATAACCAGGCCCTCCCACACTGTACCATTTGAGAACTTACAAGGCTTGGCAGTCCATTCCTAAGCTGTCTGGTCATACTGTTCTAATTGGCATTGGCCATGACAGATGTAATTTCCACTTTGTGAAAGCTGGGTGAAGCACGTGTGAGCTCCAGCCAGCAGAAGAACGAAGAGTGCTTTTCCTTTGCTATGGTGTGATAAGCATGGAGTTCTAATGCCCAGACCGTTCTATCAGGCAACCCTAATTTTCAAGGTCCTGCCCTGTGAGGGTTGATTGAAGGAACTAGGAAAGCTTGGGGAAGAGGTTTGGTGGGGGGAGGGGAGGCATGGTAGGTGTGTGAAAGATGCCTTTCTTCAAGAGTTTAAATGGCTGTCATAGACAAGAACAAGTAGATTTTTGCTCCTTCATTCCAGAGGGAAGAAACAGAACCATGGATGCAAGTTGTAAAAAGGGTTTTGGGCTTGATTGAAGAAGACTTTCTGAAAATTAAAGTAATCACCAAATGAAGTCTTTGGGTGGTTGTGGGATCTCCCTCATTGGGTATCATCAAGCCTTGCTTGGGTGACCATTTATCACACACACACACTTGTGTTGTAGTGGGGAATCTTTTGGGGATAGGGGTTGAATTAGAGAACTGGGGACATCCCTCCCAGGTCTGAGATTCTGTGTGACCATTGGGCTGCTTCCGTAAACCCATACTTAGGAAAGATGCTTTGAGAAGGCTGGAAATTTTTTGCTGAGATTTGCCGTTATTTATTTATTTTTAAATTAAACCTGGAATTGATTTTCTGAAGCATTCTATGTCTTTGGTTGACTGGTAGCTTTCCTTTAGAGAAATGACACTTTCCTGAGCTTTGTTACTCCCCCTTTCCCAGGGTCTCTTCACTGGAAGGCATCTACTCACCGTGGATATCCCTGTGAAGCTCTCTGTCTCTGTCTCTTTCTCTGTGTATCTTTGTCTCTCTCTGTCTCTCTCTTTCTCTCTTTTTTTTCTTTTTCTTTTTTTTTTTAAAGGCAATTGGGGTTAAGTGACTTGCCCAGGGCCACACAGCTAGTAAGTATCTGAGGCCGGATTTGAACTCAGGTCTTCCTGACCCCAAGCTCAAACTAGCCTGAGAACAAAGTCCATGGATGACTTTGTGTGGCTCCCTAGGAGTCTCAGAGGAGGGGATAGTCTAAGAGATGAGCTCTTGTCACTCAGCTCTCCTGGGCCTCAGTTTCCTAATCTCTAAAGTGAGGGATTCAGACAAGATGGAGTCTAAAATCTCCTCCAGCTCAAAGTCTGTGTTTTTGAGAGCAATCCTTTCCATTGTCATAACCTGCAGCACTGGCACCTGGGAGCAGTGGAAGGCTTACCTGGGCCACAGCCCAGGAAGAAGGAGGTGCATCCCAGGATGTGGTCAGCACCTCAAAATGTCCTGCCCCGGTGGCAAAGTCCTGACAACCCTACACTAGTTACACACAAATCTGGCTCTCACTACATCTTAGATCTCAGAGAGTGTATAGGATTTCATATAAAATCTGACCAAATACCTTCAGTAATGATTACTATGATTTTTCAAGCTACTCTGACTCCTTTGTGTTATCTGATCTCTCTAAATTTGTATTGAATTCTTTTTTCCATTGCTTGAATTTTCTCTTGTATTTTTCTCTTTCTTCCCCCCAAGGGAGCTATCCTTTTTCACAAAAATGCCTGATCTTTTCAGCAAAATCTTTCTGTAAAATCTTCACAAATCAGGCAGTATGACGCAGCATTGCCCTGGTTGTTGGCAGGCCTGGCTTCTTGGCCAGAACTGCCACAAATGTGCTGTCTCACTTTGCCTAAAATGTCTCTATTTGTAAAATGAAAGGGGCTGGCATCACATGATCTCTAAAGCCCCTTTTGATTTTAATATTCTATTGTTCTAAATGGATTCCTGATCCATTGGTAACTATTTCATCCATAGGTACGTACATATGTAAAGATATATATGTGCATACATGTATGCATGTATTCACATGTGTACACATATGTGTGTATACATGTGTGAATCTGTATGTACATCTATATACCTATATGTATATGTGTTTATATATAAAATCCTTTTAGGTTGCAGATGTTTAGATTCATAAAGATCTAAAGACGTATCATCAAAGCAGCCTGATACAAAGGGAAAGAGCTGGCAGAAAGACCTCGGGAGCGTCCCCTCTGGGTGATATTGGGTTAGTCCTGTAACCTCCTTGAGACCCCTGGACAACTCTAGTACTGTGGACAGGGAAGTAGATGCCAATCTGCTTTGGGAGGGAATGTCTCATCATGGCAGAACTCCCAATGGTTATGAAGTCACAAGGCCATTGCCTGGGGCTAAGTATCTGAAATGGTTTCCACGTTGTCAGGGGGGAAAAAAATGTTGCTCCAATAATAATAATTCACATTTCTCCAGCATTATAAAGTAGTTTTCTCACAATAGTCCAGGTAGGGCCAATGTTATCCCCTTATTATCCCTAAACTGAGATTCAGGAAGGTGAAGAAATGGATTTGCTCAGGGTCTTGAGGCAGAGGAAACATTGGGCTTCTCATTTTTAAAGGGGCATGGGGGGTTGAGCGGGGTGAGACTAGATGATGCCTGAGGCTCCTCCCATCTCTAAACCCTCCAATTCTAGATGTCGGTCCAACCTGCCCTCCAGCACCTCCTACAGCTTCTCAAGGGAAGGAACATCTTTCTCTTGGACTGGACCATTCATTTCAAATGAAACCACTGGAAGCCAGCCCTCCCCTCTGAGGCCCAGGGTTATGGTGAGAGGCACTTTCCAGGGCTAGAGCTGGAGGCCTGGGATGTTTCTCCACTGGCATTGCCAGCCTCCACTTGGGCGAAGGGAGCCCGCATCTTTGGGAATCCAGAATGTGACTTCCTGGGATGGTAAATAAGGTATATAAACTAAGCGGGTGGCATTTTCTTTTTCTTTTCTGAGAACTGTATTAACAATTGTACAATTTGTAAATAATGCAGGGTTTTTTTTAAAGTAAATGATTGAATAAATGTAGTTTTTGAGTGAATGACCAATGGAAATTGTGTTCCTCTCTATTCTGCTGGGCACATCATATCTACTCATTCATTTTTGCCCTTTATCTGTTTTCATTACAAGTGAAATCAACAAGCATAGATTAAGCACCTACTATGTGCCTGGCACTGTCCTAAGGGCTGTGGATGTCTTTGTGCTCAATGAGCTCATAGTCTAATGGGGAAAACGACAGGCAAACGACTGTACAAAGAAGCTACATAAAAGGTTAACTGTGGGTAGTCTCAGAGGGAAGGAGCTGTGAAAGATCAGTTACACAAGGGGGAATTTTAGATGGCAGCTGGAAGAAGCCAGGAGGCAGAGTTGAGGAAGAGACAATTCAATGGCCAGTGGAGAGATGGAGGGTCTTGGGTTAAGAACAGTCCATGACTATATTCCTGCAGGGTCCAAGGTCCCTGGACTGCAGAGGGCATGGCGGTGAGGAGGGTGTAAGAAGGCGGAAAAGGTATGGGAACCGGATGTGAAGGGCTTGGAAAGGCAAGCAGGATTTTGTTCTTGATCCCGGGAGTGATAGGAAGGCTCAGAAGTTGAGTGAACTGGGGACTGGGGAGGGACTTGGTCGGACCAGAGCTTTCAGTAGATGCAGCTGAGTGGGGGGTGGGCTGGAGGGGTGACTGGAGGTAGGGAGACCAACCTGCAGGTTGTGGCAATAGGAAAATCAGCTGGCCCAACACGAGTCACTCATTCTCCCTTCTCCATAGAATGAGAGGTTTGGGCTAGAGGGCCCCCGAGGCTGTTCCAGCGGGGCCAGGAGCACTGGGAAAGATGATGTCATGAGAGGGAACTGTAATATTTTACCCGATTTTTACCTGTAAACAGAAGCGGGTGTGGACGTCATAGGGTTGGGGGAAGCAGTGGGAAATAAACAGTCCATCTTAGAATCTATGATCCAGCTTTCTTTATCACAGGGAGGTTGTATGTGGTCTGACACTCAACTCAGATTTTGTGAGATTTTTCAAAAGATTCAAAGATTAGGTAGGATTTCACAAAAAAACAAAAGAGGGGTTTTTTTAGTTGTTTAGTCATTTTTCAGTCACTTCCAACTCTTTGTGAGCTCTTTTGCGGTCTTCTTGGCTGAAATACTGGAATGGTTTGCCATTTCCTTCTCCAGCTCCTTTTACAGATGAGGAAATTGAGGCAAACAGGGTTAAGTGACTTACCCAGGGTCACACAGCTAGTAAGTGTCTGAGGCCAGATTTGAACTCAAGTGTTCCAGACTCCAGGCCCAGCCTTACATCCACTGCACCTTCTACCTGCCCCCAAGGGAGTTATTTAAAGGAACCAAGATGGATGCTAAGATAACGCATCAACCAATTTATATTTTAGAAATTTTTTTTTTGGGCAATTGGGGTTAAGTCCTTTGCCCAGGGCCACATCAAGTGTTTGGTCTGAGGCTGGATTTGAACTCGTGTTTCAGAAATTTTGAACAGAACCAACATTTCCCGTGACTTCTAAAATGGCCACCTGGAGAGCAGTACCTGTGCATGACACCAGAGGGCATTCCTCAACAACCCCATAGGTTCTTAGTGTTGAGCAGACTAACCAGGGGGCCCTCTCAGCCCCCAGTCCCCTGTGGTAACGCCTCCTGGGTTTCTGTCTAGCTTTTTCAATTTAAATGTGTATGATTTAATCTCATCATAATTAATAACTAAATTAGCTGATGCTCCCAGCCCACAGAGAGTCCAATTTCCCCACTCCTGCACATGTAAATTAAATGCTTTGTCAAAGGGGGAAAAGAAATGAAAGCTATTGGGTTCAAGACTCCCAAGCCCCTGCTAAGCATGTCTGGGCCTTGCTGTTCTCACAGCTGCCCTGGAGCTGCAGGCTCCCCTAGGACTTCTGGGTCTTTCCATGGACTCTGCAGCTGGACTGTTACATACATTGTCTATTCCAATTAGAAGGCCGCTAGGTGGCGCCACAGTATAGAGCGCTTGGAAGCAAGAAGACTCATCTTCCTGAGTTCAAGTCCGGCCTCAGACACTTACTAGCTGTGTGACCCTGGGCAAGGCACTTCACCCTGCTTGCCTCAGTTTCCTCATCTGTAAAATAAACTGGAGAAGGAAATGGCAAACCACTCTAATGTCTTTGCCAAGAAGATCCCAAATGGTGTCACAAAGAGTCAGACGCTCCTGAAAAGACTGAACATTAATAGCAACAAATTGGACTATGAGTTCCTTGAGAGTAAACACTGTCCTGACTATACTGGTAGAGGATCACACCCTCCCCACCCCACCTCACCCCATCTCAAACACTTTAGTCTTAAAAAGTGAAGGGTTCATGGTAGCCTCTGTCTCAGCTCATCACAAGGACTGGCTGATAGGACCATGGATTGTCTACACCACATGGTCCTAAAGGATATATTATAGGTTAGAATTAGTCTCAGTGGCTCTGGCCTCAAGGACCTCAGGGATGTTTCCTGGATGTCCCCTAGTATCCCTCCAGACCCAAGGGTAAGGTGGGGAGTGGGATGGACCAGTTAAATCAAGAATGGAACCACCCTCCAAATGCATTCTGCAGGTGGGACTCCCCAGAAGAATAAGAGACGAGTCTATGGAGAGATGCTTCTAGCTGTTAGAGAGAAACATAAAATTCTTTCATTCTGTTGAGTCCTTCGGTAACTTACCACATATGACTCCTGTTACTCTGTTCACTAAAGGAGCTCATCGCCACACTCCCTCCCACTCTGGGACCTAAAGATGTAGGCTATGTGTAGAATAACAAAAGGTTACCTATGGCTCACCGGGGCTGAGCCAAGGGTGCCATATGCAGAAGATAGAAGCAAGAGTTGGCAGTGAAAAATGGATACAGGAGGATATTTTCGTCTTTTATATCCTGAGCACCAAGCACTGTGCCTGACACATAGTAGGTGCTTCATAAATGTTTGTTGATTGATTGACCTGTGATGTTCAAGTAAATTATGAGACGTTACAGATATTGGGAAGTAAAGATATGAGTGTGAAAAGGAGTGTAACTTTTGACAGGATGGTGAATGATATGGAAGGATTATTGCTAATCACAGCTTTCACCCCAAGTCTCTCAGTCCCAGGTCAAAAGAGCTAAACAAGCAGAATCAGATGAAACATTGATAACTACTTTATTCAGAAAGGGGCCCTCAATTCCAAGATATTTTCAATGCAGAAACATGCCTTGGATTGGAGAAGCTTCCAAATGTATCACAACATACGTTGACAGTCGTCATCAAATGGGTCACTATTTCAACTACAAAGCTATGTTGGGAAATTCTTTTGGTCCAGTGGAGTTAAGCCTTCTTCCTCCCGGCTTCTCCTTCGATCAGGCTGGCCTGAAAGATGATATACATGTGTGCATTAAACATAATTGACTTTACCGGCTTCCCAACACAATCAAAAGGCATGACCAGTTTCTTCTTGTGTCTGTGGAATGAGGCCAATATGGCAGACTCCCTTCGCGAAGTTTCATAATTTAGTGGATTTAGCTGAATTTTGTAAACTAAAGGGAAGGGGGCAGCTAAATGGCCCAATGGATAGAGCACCCGCCCTGAAGTCAGGAGGACCTGAGTTCAAATCCGGTCTCAGACACATAAACTCATTAGCTGTGTGACCCTGGGCAAGTCACTTAACCCCAATTGCCTAAAAACAAACAAACAAACAAAAACAATACACTAAGGGGAAGCAGAATACCGTGATGTAGTAAGAAGAAGACTGGATTTGGATCCAGAGAACCCAAGTTTGAATCATAGCTCTTCCAGTAACTACATGGCATCAGACTTCTCTGGGCCTCAATTAGCCAGAAGCAAAGAAGACTTGGGCATAGGTATAAATAGGGCACCAGACCTGGAGTCAGGGAGATTCGAGTTTAAATCCCACCCTGGACATCTAACTAGCTTTGTGATCCAAAGCAAGTCACTTAACCTTCTTCAGCCCTGATGTCTCTATCTGTAAAATGGGAATAATAATAACAACTTCTTCCCAGGGTTATTGTGAGGATCAAATGGGATAATTTCTGTTAAGTACTTTGCCAACTTTGAAGCACTACAAAAATGCTATCATTATTAAATGTTACAGCTCTTTTCAAACAATAGGTAGCATTTTTGGTTTGCAAAGCATTTTATAAATATCTTTCTGATCTGGGAGGTAGCTGCTATGGTGATGTCCATTTTTACAGATAAGGAAACTGAGGCAGCAGAGGTTAAGTGACTTGCCCAGGGTAGGAAAGCTAGCAAGCAGGATTTGAACTCAAGTCTTCCTGACTCCAGGTCCATTGTTCGATCCACTGTGCTATATAACTGCTTCTAATAATCCCAAATATATCTATTAATGCCAAATTATTGTCTTTTCCATCCATTTAATAATGCTAAATATATCTGAAGGAGCGTCAGGCAGAGGAGAGAGCAGGCTTGTTCTGTATGGCTCTGGATGTCCGATCTAGGGCCACTGGAGAGAGATTAGGGGAGGTAGATTTTGGCTTGCAAGAAAGAGTTTATCAATTAATTCATTCACCAAATATTTTAAAATACCTTCTGCATGCAGGGTCTTCTCCTAGATGTTAAGAGTTATAAGAAAAAGGGAGAAAAAATTAAAAAAAAAAACCTTCTTTCTAGCAACAAGAATGTTCAACAAGGATAAGAACTACCCTGGGAGAAGGTGGGTGCCCTGTCCAAAGCAAGTGGGGGATCACTTGTTAGGGCTGCTAGAGAAGAGAGTTCTTCACCTTTCAGAGGATCCAGGACCCTTGTGGCATACCACCTGGTTCAGCCTATGGGCCCTGCTCAGAATAATGATCTAATATAACTGAAGGAAACACTGAATTTCAGTTAGAGGTTAGTAAAAATAAGGAAGCCATTTTTTCCCTACAAATTCACAAACTCTAGGAAATCTATCTGTGGACTCCAAGTTAAGAATGCCTGATTTAAGAGGACCTCCTGCCTCAAAAAGGAACTAGAGGTTATACCTGGGCCCTTTCAACTCCGGAATTTGGGAATTCTGTGCTTTACTCACCAAAACCCCCTTTAGATCCCGGAGTGGGGAACGCGGCTGGTGAATGGTGCATTCAAAGCGCTGAGGCTCTGCCAGCTGGTTCCCTTCATCGGCCATCTGAACACAAACAGAATTCTTAGACAAGTAGGAAAAGAACTTGGGAAGCAAATTGTATGAAGGGGATGGCTTCAGAAAAGCCTAGGAAGACTTATATGAACTGATGCCAACTACAGGGAGCAGAACCAGGAGAACCATGTACATAGTAATAGCGATGTTATAATGATAACCAACTGGGAAAGACTCAGCTACTCTGATCAATACAAGGATCCAAGGCAATTCCAAAGGAGCCACAGTGAAACATGCTGTCCATCCCCAGAGAGAGCTCTGATGTATTCTGAGTGGAGACTGAAGCAGATGTTTTAAAGCTTTTTTTGTTTTCATTGGTGGTGCAACATGGCTAATACAGAAATATGTTTTACATGGCTTCACACGCATGAAGGGTATTAAAGCTCTTGCCTTCTCAATGCATGGAGAAAGGGAGAGACTTTGGAACTGAAAATAAAATAATAATAATAAAGCACATAGGAAAGAGATTGAAAGTATCTTTCCATGGCTAAGAAATGGCATGCTTACAGGGCAGTTGAATCTCAAGGGCACCTAAGGAGGATGGCAAATATGTCAGAAAGGTAAGTGGCTTGTTGTAATTTTGTGAAAACTCCCCACTCTGCAAAGGGACTTAAATCAAGGCTGATATAATGAGACCTGCCCTTGGAAATTTCATCAGATACCTTGGGTACAATTATCTCTATGCAAATGGCCCCCAAATTCTGCTCCTGCTTCAACATGCTACCTTGGAATCTCTGTCTATGTCTCTGTCTCTCTGTGTCTCTATGTCTCTGCCTGACTCTCTGTCTCTGTCTCTTTTGGTTTCTTTCCATGTATGTCCCCAGAATCACAGAATTTCAGAATCTGGTTATGATTTCAGAGGCCATCTAATCTCTGAGAGTTTCCCATTCTACAACCCACAGCTGCCAAGTTGCCATCCAGGCTTCTCTTCAACAGTCTACAAGTGAGGAGGAGCCCATGACGTCTTGAGGCAGCCCATGTGGTTGTTAAGAAGGCATTTTCTCCCTTTATATCTATCTGCAATTTTCCTCTTTACCTCTTCCCCTCGTCGCTCTGGGTTCTGCCCTCTGTGGCAAACAGAACAAGGCCAATCCCTCTTCTAGACTTCAAATACTTGAATTTAGCTATTATGTCTCTGCTGAGTCTTCTCTGCTTTGGAATTAAACTCCCCAGGCCTTTCAACCAATCCCCATATAGCCTGGGCTCAATGTGGCAATAATGTGGTGTTGTTGTTCAGTCATGTCCAACTCTCCATGACCCCATTTGAAGGTCTTCTTGGCAAGGGTACTGGAGTGGTTTGCCATTTCCTTATACAGCTCATTTTACAGATGAAGAAACTGAGGTAAACAAGGTTAAGTGACTTGCTCAGGGTCACATAGCTAGGAAGTGTCTGAGGCTGGATTTGAACTCAGGAAGATGGGTCTTCCTGATTCCAAGCCCTGTGCTCTATCCACTATGGCACCACCTAACTGCTCAAAATATGGCAACCAAAAGTGAACTGAATACTCCAGGTGGAATCTGACCATCTGGACTGCCTAGCTACAATTGAAGAATCTCTAGAATAGGACAGTCTGACAGAGCTGAACCCACATTCCTGAGCTACCCCCCAAACTGCTTGTGCCCACCCTCTCTTCCAAAAATGGCTCCTCTACTTCTGGATGTACATTTTTCTCCCCCAATAGAATGTGGGCTCCTTGAGGGCCCTGGAACCTAGCAGAGTTGCTGGCAGACAGTGGGTGTTTAATAAATGTTTGTTGATTGATAGGCACCTGGTGAGTGCTTAACACATTTTGGATGAATTGAATTAAATAACATAAGTGCCATTTTTGAACAGGGGGAACATAGCTCTTCATTCTCACCAGCAATTTTTTCACCCAACTAAAATCTATTTCCTGTCTCTCCCACTTTCCCCTACCCTTCTCCTTTGGGGAGAGGAGAGAAAAATAAAGCTTTTGTAACAAATATGCATAGGGCAGCTAGGGGGCACAGTGGATAGAGCTCCAGGCCTGAAGTCAAGAGGATATACTTTGAAATCTGACCTCAGACACCCACTAGCTGTGCAGCCTTGGGCAAGTCGCTTAGCTCTGTTTGCCTCAGTTTCCTCATCTGTAAAATGAACTGGAAAAGGAAATGGCAAGCCAATCCATTATCTCTACCAAGAAAACCCCAAATGGGGACACAGAGAGTCACAACAACAACAACAAAACATGGATATTCAAGCCATACCGAGTCCTGCACTGGCCACATCCCATGTGCCTCCTACTGCACCCTGAGTCCATCACCTCTTTTTTTTTTTTTGCTTTTTGGTGAAGTGATCAGGGTTAGGTGACTCGCCCAGGGTCACACAGTTAGGACGTGTTAAGTGTCTGAGGCTGGATTTGAACTCAGGTCCTCCTCACTCCAAGGACAAAGCTCTATTCACTGCGCCACCTAGCTGCCCCTCACCACCTCTTCTTTAAAAGACAAACACACCTCTTGGAATGAATCAATCAAGTTATCAGCATCCCTCTTCCCCCCTGGGCGAAGGCCATAGGACCAGTGTTGGCCAGAGCTGATCGTCACACACACAGTCAGGAGAAGGCATCCAGCTACGAGCTTCTGGGTCAGTTCCATTCTGTGGGACATCAAAAAAAATGGAGGAAAATCCAAACCTGAAGAAGTAGCATTGAATGAGAAGGAAAACTATTTGGGGTTGGCAAAAAGCCCAGAAATGAGTTAAGCTAACCTTGCAAGACAGGACAAGGTCTCCCGCACAATTGTTGAGAAAAGCAGCCAAACACTGAGACACGCAGTAATTAGGCGGGGTACAGCAAGTGGGTGGCAAAGTCTAGAGTGGAACTCAGAAGCCTGGTATTTCTCAGCAACCTCCTCCCCACATTCACCAAATCATTTGTTCTTTTCTTCTCGTTGGATCTCCAAACCCTGGTCCTCTTTCCTCTTCAAGCCCATCCTATTCTCTTACAGCAACATTCCCCAAATCAGTTTAGCCATTGCTCCTTTGGGATTGGAACTATATTGCTAGAATCTATAAACTTATAGATAGGTCTGTATATGTATACATTTGGAGATTCTAGTAATAGGTGAATGAAGTAAGTTGAAAACTTACTTTTTCATGTCCCTGAAAATGACCAAAGAGGTCAGTATTTTTGATATACACATATTTTATTCTTTGAAATGTTAGCATTGAAAAGCATTGCCAATATTAAAAATGTCCTCCAAGCCCCCAGATTTGCACAGTGGGGACCACATCCTCCTTCTGTTGTCTAGGAAATGCTGCTTTCCATTGGAGGAAGTGTATACACTGGAAAGGAGGCTACAGCGAGGGGGAGGATCTTTGAATCATGGGACTTGAGATAGGAGAGGGCAACTTTGGGTAGGTGACTTCCACCTCCCTATGCACAATGGCCTCCAAGGCCCCTCCCAGCTCTGATATTCCATGATTTTCTGTTTAAAAGAGATAGAAAGGACTGAACCCCTGTAAGCCTTGGTGATCTCATTTCTAAAATGGGGGGAAGAGCTGTCCCTACCTGAAAGGGCTATTATGGAAATCATAGAGGCCATCCAGCCTACCTCCCAAGTCCCATTTAATAGATCAAATGAGATCCTGCAGGTAAAGTGCATGGCCAACCTCAAGGCACTCTTGGGTCTCAGACCCCAGAACCCCACCATCTAGTCTAACATTATACAGATAAGGACATGGAGACCTAGAGGTCAATGCATTTGCTCCCAGGACGGGGCTTTTGTCCGGCTCCATTACAAAAAAGACTTAAAATTATAATTCAAAAAAGCCTGACAATTTAATAACATTTCTTAAGATAATTACTTAGCCTTTGACTTGTCTGTCTCTGTGTGTGTGTGTGTGTGTGTGTGTCTCTGTCTCTCTCTCTGTCTCTCTCTGTCTCTCTCTCTGTCTCTGTCTCTCTGTGTCTCTCTCTGTTTCTGTCTCTCTGTCTCTGTCTCTCTGTCTCTCTCTGTCTCTGTCTCTGTCTCTCTCTCTGTCTCTGTCTGTCACACAGATAATAGGCAGTGAGAGATGAGATTTGAACCCAGGTCCTCTGGCCTGAGCCAGGGCTTTCTCCCCTCCCCTCCAGGTCACAGAGGCCATCATCTCTATCCTGAAAAGCTTCTCATAGAATAAGATCACATATTGCTTAACATTTTTACAAATGCAGTTGAGAATTAATCATATATAATTACATTTAGTCATATTTGGAGGGTATTTTAATGTTTGCAAAGCACTTTTCTTCCTCACAACTCTGTGAGGTGGTATGATATGATTACCTCCATTTTACAGAAAAGGACACTGAGGCTCAGAACATGTCCATGATCATACAGCTGAGTCGGCAAGGGAGGATTCAGACCCAGGTCTCCTGACTGTAAAAACAGCATTCTTTTCACTAACATTGTCTTATATGGTATCCCTTCCTCTTATCAAAAGATGCACAAATGTAGAGATGTCTCCACCCCAAATGTTCATACGGCTATTTGTGCCCGACCTACAGTAGAGCCTTCCAAGCTCATACTGGTCTGGTCAGCCACAGTTGGACACACTGTACCTTGACCCCGACGGAGTGCTGTCATTTTGGTCCTCTGAGAATGAAGGACAACAATTAAACCATCCCCCAACTCAGCAGCAAGCATTTCAAATAGCCAAGTTCCACTTTGCCACCAGAGGGAGAGAGAGAGAGAGAGACAGAGAGAGAGACACACACACACACAGACAGAGAGAGAGACACACACAGAGAGACAGAGATAGAGACAGAGAGAGGAGACAGAGAGAGACAGAGAGACAGAGACAGAGAGAGATAGAGACAGAGAGAGGAGAGAGACAGAGAGACAGAGATAGAGAGACAGAGACAGAGAGAGATAGAGACAGAGAGAGGAGAGAGACAGAGAGAGAGAGAGACAGACAGAGAGAGATAGAGACAGAGAGAGGAGAGAGACAGAGAGAGACAGAGAGAGACAGAGAGACAGAGAGACACAGACAGACAGAGACAGACACAGACACAGAGAGACACAGGCACAGAGAGACAGAGAGAGACAGAGAGACAGAGACAGAGACAGAGAGACAGAGAGAGGAGAGAGACAGAGAGACACAGAGAGACAGAGACAGAGAGACAGAGAGAGGAGAGAGACAGAGAGACACAGAGACAGAGACAGAGAGAGACAGAGACAGAGACAGAGAGAGACAGAGAGACAGAGAGACAGAAACAGAGAGAGACACAGAGAGACAGAGAGAGAGACAGAGAGAGACAGAGAGAGAGACAGAGAGAGACACACACACACACAGAGACAGACAAGTCAAAGGAAGGCTAAGTAATTATCTTAAGAAATGTTATTAAATTGTCAGGCTTTTTTGAATTATAATTTTAAGTCTTTTTTGTAATGGAGCTGGACAAAAGCCCCGTCCTGGGAGCAAATGCGTTTGGCGAGCGACTGTGGAAGGTCATGGAGACGTGGAAGGCTCTTCAGAGAGCAGGCAGCTGGTCAGGAAGTCAGGTAGAAGTCAGAGACTTCTGTCAGCCTGGGAGGTGTGGGGCGGGGGGGGGCAGAGGGTGTCCCCTCCCCTTCTTGGTCACCACCTCCACCTGCTTTTATCCCTGTTGTGTCTATTCTTTCCTGCTCTTGGCTGAAGGAGCATGGCAGAGGGTTATGACCTTGTCAGTTTTGAGGTCAAGAAGAGCTGCCATAGGTCTAGGACCTGGAGTCTATTCAAGAGTTTGTCAATAACCATGCCCAATGCACCCTTGAAGCTTGACCTAGGCCAGCGGCTGATAAGCCAGTAGCTAAGACACTGTGTTGTAAAACAAGGGAGTGACTTACGCAGTGGTTATGCCATGACGCAGAGGTCATAGCCCTCTCTGACGCTCCTTCTGCCAAGAGCAGGAAAGAATAGATCTATGAAGACCTGTGTTCAAATCCCACCTCTGACCCTTACTGCTTTGTGTAAGCTCAAGCAATTCACTTAACCTCCCTAAGCCTCAACTTCTTCCTTTGTTACATGAGGAGTTGGATCTAGGTTGTTATCATGGAGCTGGTGAATGGTAAAGTTTCTCTTAAGATCCTTACGCCCCTAGAAACACCAAACACCCTCCCCACCCCCACGCTTACCTTCTAGCATTGCCTTGTTAAGCCGGCACTCTGGAATCAGTGACATCAGTGACATTTCCCATAGTACCCCATGTACCTTTAGTACCTATAGTACCCCAGGTCCCCATGGACCAGTTGCCTTAAGTAAGGATTCTGGCTAAAGCACATTACCTGCTTCTGGAAAGCAAAGATTGGGAAGAATTCTGCACGTCCTCCTTCCTTTGAGATTTACTCTAGTTATATTGTTCCTGTCCTCTGCCTCATCCCCTTTTTATAGGAGCATCTTCCATGGCACAAAAGTCATTCCTTTTGGCAAATTAATTTAATCTTCATACACAATGACAGTGCAGGCTTTTTTTTTCCCCCTTAAATTTCTCATCCAGCTTTTTGATGCCACACTTAGCAGTAGAACCCCTGGTGAGACAGCTGTGGGCAGTCAAATCCTAATACTAAAATCCCACCTAAGCCTTTTCTAGTCAACATCACAAATCACAGAGATTAAAACCACACTGAGTGGGTTCAGGAACTCCTGCCCGTTTCTTCCCCCAGGTGAAGTATCTATTTTAAATTAGGCAAAGTGAATACATAATTTTTTTTAAAAAAGATCACAGAAACATAATGTTGTTTGGGAGTACATTAAAGTTAGCATCTTAAAATACAACATATTTGTCACAAAGAGGAAAATTGAGGCTTGATGTCAGGAGAACTGTCCAAAAGACAGACAAGGATTCAAAGGAACTGTCTAATGTTGAATCAACTGAAGTGAAAATCTGAACCAGGAAGACCCGGGTTCAAGTCTTGCCTCAGATACACACTGGCTGTGTGACTTTGGGAGAGTCACCTAACCTCAGTGTTCCAGGTAACTCTCTAGCTCCAAGCTGCAGAGGGGTGCTGGCCTGAATTGGTAGAAGGAGCTTCCTTATTCCTGTGAAGTAACAGGCCTATTCCCCATCTCTTCTTCCATCCCGTGAAATGGGTTTTAGCATTGGCAGAAGTGAATCCCTCAGGGCCCAAGCACACTCTAAGGGGTTTTCTTACTTTCTAGATTCATAGCCGCCACTCAGGAAATGGATTTTCATCTCTCTAGTGGCAAGTACCCACTTCAAAGAGTTTATTGTATAGAAAACGTTGATGAAAAGGAGGAGGAAAACAGAACAGAGAGCGTTGAATGAGTGGCTGTGCATTCTAAGGATGGATGCCAACCCCAGAGACGCAATCAGCATGATGAGGGCCCTCTGGTCACTCCATGGGGATAACTGGGTGGGATTCTTCAAATTACCTAGGGCTTTATCTTGCCCTACCTAGAGTAGGGAGAATGAGAGTGGAAGTGTGAGGGAAGCCAGTAACATTATTCTCTATGGGGAGTGGAAAAGAGACAGTCCCTATTACATCAGTAATTCCTTAAATTTGCACATTCCCTGGATGGTTTAAAAAAAAAATATATATATATATATATATATATATATATATATATATATATATATTACAATAGCTTATATTTCTAGATGGAATTATGCTTATACTTCTATTTTTAAAAAAGATGGTAATATAGTTAGACTCATTTTACAAATGAAGGAGACAAGGGTTA